GGCAGTGTGTTCTCAGAAAGACAGAAGGCTGGGTTACATGATCTTCCTAGATGCTGAGCCTGCTTTCTGTGTGAGCAAGGTGGACAGACGCCCAACCTGATTTAGTTTAGGGTGGTCCAGTTGACTGATCTGGTGTAGACTTAGTCAGGAGGAGCATGAACTTGTGGTGTAACAGCTGCACGGTCCTGTTGATCTCGCTAATGCCATAGCTAAATCTTAGTGGAGTTGCTCTTAAAAACTGGGTGGGGGATGTCTGGAGTGGGTGCAATGGGATCCCACTGGAGACAGAGGATGCAGTTAGAGACAGAAAGGCAGCTCCTATCAAAGGGGGTGGTGGAGGCCTTGAGAGGTGGGAAAAGGCAACAAGGCTGGCATGGTTGAGAGCTGTGTACAGTGCTGCAGCTAAAGTACTTTGGTGGTCAGAGCCTCGATGACTTGCTAAGGACTGATCTGCAGGACAGACATGAGGCCATAATGTAGCAGGCAATGCACAGCTGTCTTTAGCACAGGCACATGCCCGTACAAAGCTGTAGTTTAAATGCAGTTCTCAACATCGTGGGCACTGACATTTGCCACGATTACTGCTCTGTCTCTACTTCTGTCCTCTCATGCCTCATCTGGACTTGTCTGGTCCAGTGGGTAGTTTCACACCACTAACTTTTTGGGGGTCAAGTCACATGTCTCATGTATCTTGCCTGCATGAATTTTACTGGATGTTGTAATAGCTTCCTGATAACTGTTTTCATCTTCGGTTAGAAGCTTTTTTAACTGAATATCCTCTTAATCTGTTCTTTCCAGCCCTGGCAAAACAGCTGTGTAAATTGACAGGAGCCAGGAAATAGCAGCTTCACAGCTAATAATGCAGGCTTCTGGTGTTTCCAGCTGTGTTTTAGCAGGAGGTTGTCCATCTGAGGCTGTTGTGCTGCCACACCACTCCATTCCCCGCATCCCTCCTATTAAACCAACACCCATGTGGGCTGCACTCTTGAGTGCCCAACCTGGTCTCAGCACACAGGGACTCTTTAAAATCCTTGCAGCCTTTTCACATGACGTCAGTATATTACAGGGACCTGTCATGTCTTTAGCAACATTTTATGTAACTCTCAATAAATAGAGTTAGTGTCTAGGAGCAGTGATGGCTTATCTGCTGGGGAGCAGGCTTGTGAAATGAAATATGGATAGTACAGTGCTCTTTTATCTTACAGTTACAAGGGCACTGGGAGCATCCCACATGTAAACTGCAAGTATTTAGTCAGATTACACCTTATATGCAGGAAGCCCCCTAAAGATGGGCTGTAGAGGAGTGTAGGAGAATGATTCTAGCCATGGGCAGAGGTTTGTTTTGAACAAATGCAGGTAACATTTCTGCTGTGCTAATGTCAATTTTGTAGTCGGCCTGTCTAAGGTCACAGCCAATGTCAAAGCAAGAATTTGGGCTGTGCTGTCTGAGCTGCAGCCACTCTGGATGTAATGCAGTTGTGTTCCTGGTGCTCTCTGGCTAAAAAGCTGCACCTTGACAGTTTATTTCCCAGCCCTATTTTTATTCTGGGGATATTTTTCTTTTTTTTTTTTTTTCCACCCCACGACTGTCAGTGATTTGGAGGCAACTCTGCTGATACTACTCTCGGTGCTTTGTACTTGGATGCTGTTTTCCTCTGGGTGCTGGAGGCTGATGTGAGTTTCATGATGCTCCCCCTGCACTCCATCCTCTGCTTAATAAAGGCAGAGCTGATAGCACTGGGTGGCAATGCTACAGCCAGAAGGAGCAAGCTGGGAAACGCAGTGCGGTCCAGCCAGAGGAGTAAGGAGAACTCCTGCCAGCTTTTATCAGAAGGGTTGGAGTTTGTTTTGTGTTGTCCTCCTCCTTTTGTTTCAGTCTCTTCACCAAAGCAAAGCAAGAAGCTGGTAGGGGATGGTGAGACTCTGTTCCCCTACTGTGAGTGGCTTAGCTTTTACAAAAAGGAGAGCAACTGAGATCCCACTGAAGTAAGAGCAGAATGAGAACTGGGGCTTCTGATTTTAGTTCCCAGGTTTGTCACCAATTTACTGTTCCTGTCACTGTGAATTGCACTCGTAAATGGTGGAATTTTTTTATCTGAAATCCAGCTATCCAAAATCTGGCCCTTGTAAGGTGTGGCATCCAAGTGGTTCTAAATACCATCCTGCGTTCTAGCCACTTGTATACATGTATGGTAAAAGCCTAAAATTTGGCATCCAGGTCAAAATGTGAGAGACTTCCAAAGCTAGTTAATACCGGCTGGCCTTGGGAAATCACTTCTGTTGGCTTTCAATCTTCCAGCCTAAATTATTCCATTGCAAATTAATTTTGTTGACTGTACTTGTCTCATTAATGTTTGGCTCTCTATGCCTCAGTTTATACAGCTGTAGTGAGTAATCATGGGTTTCTTATCTAGGTACAACTCAGCAGTGAGCACCATAGACATGATTTTGCATGCTCAGAATTATATTATCATCTCATAGAGATTCCCCATTCTGCTGAGTTTGGTGTTCATGGGACCTCAACTGTAGAGTTGCTCTAGTGATGTACTGGAGGTGGTATTATGAAGGACAGCTTCTACAGCAGGGGCTTTGCATTGCTTAGAGTTTGTTGGTGTTGGCTGTGTGGTGTCAAAGTCTGGAGTCTTATCAGCTTGAGCGCACCAGCTCTGTTAGATCACACCTTGCATTAAAACCAGTCCTGTGTTGTGGACAATAAATGTAGTTCTGTCCCATGAGTGCCTGGTGGGGCTGCCTTGGGCAATGGGATGTTGTCCATATCCCTCCACCTTGGTGTGCATTCCTTTAAAAATGCCAGTAGAGGGTTTTCGAGGCGTGTCTCTGCCCATCTGCTCCGCTCTGGCTCCGGTGGAGGGTTGGGAACAGTGAAGTCACTGTTAGATGTGTGCCCAGTGCTCAAGCGCTGCTCGCTGAGCAGCGTGGCCAAGGTCACTGGAGCAGGGACAGGCCGTGCTGTGCCCTTGCAACAAGAGGAGAGGACATAATTTCCCCTGGTGAATCACAGCTGTTTCATCCCAACAGGTACCTGCGCCTGGTGTTTCAGATGAAGTGGTGATCTCTTTTCTCTCTGACATGCACTTCACTTGGCTTTAGCATGGGGAAAAATTACTGCTATTGCATTGCCTTCAGTCATAGGGTTTGATTTTTAGGGTTTTTGGTTTTGTTTTTTTTTTTTTTCTTTCCCCTTGGCTCTTTAAGTGGGGAAGGATTACAGTGGTAGTGTAAAGTGATAACTGCCTATATAGGATGAAGGCTGAATTTTCAGAAATCATTAAAACAGTCCAGTTTCAGAGATCTGACTTGGACCCTCATCAGGGTCAGGTTTGGGAGTTTTTGCTTATGCAAAGTAGCAGAAGTGGGTTGTTTCCATTTTTTCATTTTGTTGCCGATGGGACTGTCTTTGTCCAACTGTGCCCTGGTGTACCCTAACAGAGGCTAACTGCCCCCAGAGAAGAGCTGCTGTCAGAATACTTTAAAGTCGGTCAGACTGCCTTCTGTTTCATGAGGTTTATCAGCAAAGATTTTCAGTGCCTCCAGTGGGAGGCTATTTTTATTCTATCCAGGGGCTACCTTCTGCTCTGAGGTCTTTATCACTTTTTTTTTTTTTTTTAATAGAGAAAACTGCCTGTTTTAGGACAACCTTAAATATCTTTTGCAATCTGAAAAAACAAGATAGTCTTTTATCCAAGGTAAAAGTTTTGGCATTTCTGTGACATGTTCAAGATTTCTTTTGTTATTTTTTTCCTGTATAAGGGGGACACTGCTATAGATATGAGAATGCACTGAGTTTTCTCCCTTGAGCAGGAATGACAGCAAGTGAGGTACCTAACGTTTCATCTTCATACTCTGATCAGTGCTATGACTGTTGCAGAAAATCCACATTGTGTTTCATTGCACCATGTAATCAAGACTGGAATAGCTCTCAAGAGATGATCTGGTTCATTTTCCTGCCCTATGGCAAGATCAGTCATACCTGTGTCTTTCCTGACAGATGCCAGTCTATGCTCTTTTGAAGATGTCTGCAGCCTCTCCAGGCAGCATATTTCAGTTCTTCAAAATCCTTACCAGTAAAAGTCTGGTTTCTTCCCACCTTGTATTTAACCTGAATCACGTCTGTTGCAGTTTAAACCTGCCACTTCTTGTCCTGCCCATTTTGAATAAAAAGAACAGGTCATTCCTTTTTGCATTAACGTTAAATATTCGAAGACTATTCATGTGCTTCTCTCTTCTTGGTGTTAAATAACCACTATTTGCTAAATCTTCCCTTTGTGGTGGATTTAAAACTTCTATGTAAAGCTTAATTGGCTGGTCTTCTCAAAAATATTCTGCAAGTGATGATCCCAGTCATTAACTAATCCACAAACAGTTTAAACCCTTTGATCAGCATTTTATTTATATACTTTAATAGAATCCTTCGATGATGGCCACACTGCCTACTTGTGCATCACTGTCCCTGACTTGATGGCCTTGTGCTGGTGTGCAAGCCAAGTATCCACAAGGTTTTCTGCTGCTTGTTAACCATGATTCTTTCTAAGAGAAAGGTGGGGTGCCCTGCATGAGATGAGACTTGGTGTGGTTTGTGCCTTGGTTCTGTTGGACAGTGTTTGCAACGCGGATGCTGTGCATTCAAACAGAAAGGGTGCCCAAAGAGAGGCTAACCAGTCATGGAGCCCTGGGTCTCTTCAGTCACCCAAAATATACATTGATGTACGCAGGAATTTGGAAGTGAACATGTGCTCAGGCAGGTGGTAGGCTGTGAAATGTCACTTGGTATTAGGACCTTCTGATGTGGCTGTATTTGCATAGTTAGATCATACTTGGAGGTCAACTACTACTGTACTGTAGTTTGGATGTCCTTGATGTGTATGTCTCTGGCTCCAAGGGAAAGTCAAGGAAACTTACACTTTAGCAGGACATATGGGGAGAACAGAAGACAGGTCGTATTCCCTTTCAGTAATTTTCTCTGGATTTCTCTGTTGTAGGTGAGTGTTTTAACCACCTTGGAGCGACGATTCAATCTTCAGAGTGCTGACGTGGGCGTCATTGCCAGCAGCTTCGAGATTGGCAACCTGGCCCTCATCCTCTTTGTGAGCTACTTCGGAGCCCGAGGACATCGGCCACGCTTGATAGGATGCGGAGGGATAGTCATGGCCTTGGGTGCCCTCCTTTCCGCGTTGCCTGAATTTCTGACCCATCAGTATGAATATGAATCGGGAGAAATACGCTGGGGGGCTGAAGGGAGGGATGTGTGTGCTGCCAACGGGTCCACCAGTGATGAGGGACCAGACCCGGACCTTATCTGCAGGAATAGGACTGCTACCAACATGATGTACTTGCTGCTCATTGGAGCACAAGTCCTCCTGGGCATTGGTGCTACCCCTGTCCAGCCCCTGGGAGTTTCCTACATTGATGACCATGTGAGGCGGAAAGATTCCTCCCTGTACATAGGTAAGGCTCTCTGAACTTCTCACTGAAGGCTTTCCTTGCGGGCTGGCATCTCACTCTTGTTTTCTGTTTGATGCCAGTGGATGGGATGCCTTGAGGCCTCTTCTCCATGTGCTGCTATGCTTGTGAAGATAACTTGGCATGGGTCTCTACACCAAGCAGTTGTAAGCAGCAGGGGAACACAGGGATATTTACTTGTATTGTAGCAATGGTAAAGGTTGAGAGCTGTGGTGACTACTACTGGATGATTAGGAAGATGCTCACTCCTTCTACTGTGTTTGCCCAGATTGCTTTAAATTCTGATATTAGCGGCTTATGGTTGAGTTTTAGCTGAAGAATGTCCAAGTGGCGATGTGGGGTTTTTTCCCCAAGACACCCTAGTTCCCTTCCTGTTCCAAAGCATTTGTCTGTGTCTGAGTGATCGTTGTAGTAGGAGGAGACACATACCTTGTCACTACCACCATCACATTTTAGGAAGGAAGTGCCTGTTACGGAGTGGCTGCTGTGACCCAGCATGCTGTGGCAGGACCCCAGATAATGTGATCCCTGTAACGGAATGGGATGTAGAAGCCGGTGAGGTCTATTTTGAGATATGATGAGCCTGAAGTAGAAGTCATGATTCTGGTGATCATGTTGCAAAATTCTTCCAGATGGTTAAGTTATGAAATTTGGCTTCAGTTACCCAATGAAACATCTCTATTATTGGGGTAAAGTGCTCATGGGTTTCAGCGGTACTACCCTCTCCAGCACGTTAAAAGGAGGATGTTGTGGGTGAATTTGTTCTCTGAAAAAACTTACAAGCTTGGCTCCTTCTTCTTTCTGCAGGACTTGTCACTAGACGAATGGCTCCAATGCAGTAAATCAGTGAAGTGTGTTCTGCCATTAATGTGATCCTTCTACACTTGTTAGAATAATTTCTAGTAACCAAAACTCTGTGTACTTGACCCATCATCCCTGTCTTGACGTGACTTTCAGCTGAATGGATGGTCCCATTACTGGTTTTGGTTTTGTTTTGTTTTGTTTTTGCAAAGATATTTTTATCAAGTTCCCAAGTGTAACTGAATGCAGCGGGGGTATGACCATAGACAGCAAAGCTGAACAGTCCCGCTGAGTTTCTGAATGGTGTTCAGTGTCCTGGGACAGTGCAGGGGCCTATTAGAAAGATTAACTATATAGCATTCCTGGATGTATTGCTACTTTACTTAAAGAGATTCTCTACAGTAAAAGTGTGTCCATGTTTTCCTGTAACTGGCCATAAAAATCATAGTATTTCAACATTTAGCTTTGTACTTGGGTAATTATTCACCTTCACTTGGTTCTGTAAATGCTTATGAGCGATCCACTGGATAAAGCAGGATGATATATAAAATGCAAGATACTGTACAACCGGAAGGTGAATAATGAGACTAAACTCACTGGAGTAACTTTGCCAACACCATAAATGATGAGCGGGAATTAAGAGTGATTCTAAGATTATCCATTATAAATAACTATATAGAGGAGCAGCAACTTCTTTCAGTCTGTTCCATGGGCATTTTTAAAGCAATGCTTCATGTCTGAGAACAGGACTGAGGAGGGTGCATGAGAGGAGGATTAGGAAGAGTGATTCTTTTTGTTCCTGAGATACATTCATCTTGTATGCTAAAATAACTTCTTTAAAGTTGGCAGTTCAACTGTAGCTGGGAAAATACTGCCAGAAAATGATTTCTGCTTACTATATGCTGCTTCATTATTTTTCCTTCAGACATATGCTTCTAACCATGTTCCTTTCTACATGTAGAGTTTAAAAAAAGCCCAAGCATTTTGGGGTTGTTTGCTTTACTGACTTAAATGATGAAAATCATAACCTGAATTTCTGTGTATGAATTATGCGTTGCAGAAGAGTGCATGTGTATGCACATTCAACCAATCAGCCATAGCAGCAATGAAGTTTAATATCTGCCTTGTCCCAGCCTGTCCATCACAAGTAGGTTTTCAGATACAGGATGATTAATTCTTACATCAACCTACAATCAATTTGGCTAGTAGAAGTAAAACCTAACAGGAAAAAAGTCTATTCTCTGAATGAATATAAATAGAGAAGAAGCTGGTGGAAATCTACGTGTCTTCTCAGATTTGTGAATACTTGAGAGGAAGTTAAATTCCTCAGTTTAAAATGTGGTTTGAGAATTATTTGCTCAGATTTGTCTTTAACTGATTATTTTTGTTGATGTCATCAATGCAATTTTCAGTGGCCTTAGCAGAAGGCTGGCTGAGTATCTTACCCACTCCATTCTCCTCTGTTTCTCAGAGGAAATAACTGCAGAGTGTATACTGTTGCTGTGCTATATTTGTATCACTTTACTTTCTCATAATAGCATGCTCACTCAGTAGGGGCTACAGTGTGTGTGACCGGATAAAACGTTTTTGGGTAAGTTCCCTCAGTTTAAATTAGAAGCAAATCTGGAATAGGTTGTTCTCTGAGGATAGAAACTAATTAATAACAGCGGTAATAGTCTGGCTGAACTTTCTATCATGGCTGGGTGCATCTGAGAAATGATCAGCTTGACCAGTCCATGCTGTCTTTAGTATATCGCTAATGTCAAGTACATATATGCTGCATTTGGGCTGTATTGTAGTTGGGGGGTAAGAATCAGTCTCCCACCTGACAGCTAAGTACTAGTAATTGTTCCCCTGCTGCAATAAAAACCTTCTCGTGTCCCAAGGCAGTGAATTAGATAGATATAACTGTGCACTGAGAGGTTTTTTCCTCCCGAGTTGTACAAGAGTTTAGTGGAGTAACTTAATATAATATTTGACACAGTCTCTTTGTAGTGAAATGACAACACAGGAAGACTCCTCTAGTTAAAAAAAAAAAAAAAAAAAAAAAAAAAAAAAAAGGGGGCGAAAAAAACAAACCCCAAAACATCCCCCTAAACCGTTCTTCCTTTTTGTATTAGTACTAATACATGTGTACAGAAGAGTGCAGATGTGTAACAGCATCTGTGGAATATAATATATTTCTGGCCATGAAGTCCATCAAATCAGTCTCATTGCGGTTTCTCTGCAGTGACAGGCACAGAGGAGGTGGTGGGCAGTGCACCTCTGTTGTGCATCCTTTGAAGGCAGGGGTTGCTCAGGCTTGTGCTCTGCCAAGGAGGCGGGGATTCATGAAGTTTCGTAATTAGAGAGACAGGGGTAAGTTATTACAGGAAGATATCTCCGTGGCATGGGCTGCTGACATGTAGTTTCATGTTTCTTGAGCTAATAGCAGATTTTTTTAATGCTTGCAATGTGTTGCTACCAAACTCAGATTCTGTTGCTATACTAACCAGACATAGGAAAAAGGGCTGTGTTGTGGTAACCGAGGGCAATTCAAATCAAACCAAAAAGACGCATGCATGGAAGTATGCTCCAAAGAATGCTCAAAAGAAAACTCATTTGTGCCGTAACAGAGTTAGAAAGTTATCTGGATCTTGCCTGCTCCTGCTAAGGATGGGAACTACATTCTCCTCCCATTTCAGCATCTGAGTGCCTACTCAACACAAAGGTCATAACATTGGCAATAGCAGCAAAAAGATGAAAAAATAAAGGAATTTCCTTAGCTATTTGAAGTTGAGAAAAATGTTCCGGTTTGGTGCTGGTTTGCTGGCTTCTTTCTGTTTGGCTTTTGTATTTAAGATCTGAGCTCCCATCTAGAGGTTTCCAAACAAGCAGGTTAATTTTACCTGTGTATTTATTGGCATTTGGCATAAGTAACCCCTTTGAATGGAGGAGTTCCTCACTCCTGCAGAGAGTTCCGGGCTCATTATTGCTGCTGCTTCACTAATGTGAAATCATTCCCTCAATTTGTGGCATCGTTTATTTTAAAGGAGGAAAAGTATGTTGAAGACCACTTACCACACAGTTCCTTTCTCTACCTGCTAATGACTCACTTGACATTTCCCTCTTTTCTTTCGTTCGTTTTATGCTGTCTTGCTGAGTTCTGTTGAAATCAATGAAGACTTTGTCATTAGGAGAGAGCTCAGAGGCACTGTGGAGCTGATACAGGGGGAAAAAAACTGATCTGACAGTGGTTGTATGGATTTGCTGCCTCTCATATGAGCAAGAGCTTGCAAGTTTTTTCTGGTCACTGGAGTAACCCACATTGCTCTCAGCAGTGGTTTGTGTGTTCAGTTAGAGCCAATGCAGTGATGTGGTAGATTAATGTTATTAGCAGTCTCCATATGCACCTTCTGGGCTTTCTGCAGCATTTAACATTTGCTGATAAAAATTGTTGCGTCTTGCCTAGCACACGGTTACCTATAGAACAGAATTAATAGCCTCTGAGAGCCAGTATTTGATGTGGCACAATTCAGGGCTGCATATATAGAGGAAGTTGCTATTATTCTGTCTCCTGTTGATGGAGGAAATGGATATTGATGTTGGAGGGAGCACTTCCAGATTGTGTGGCTCATTCAGAATGCTGTGTTGATCTTTAATGCATTGGAGTTTCTCCTTAAGTTTGCTGAAGCTGTCTCAGTGTTTAACTTCATGGACACCTACCCCACACATTCAGGACCTGCCATGTCAGACTCCTCGCTGACTTGCAGAAACTTCTGTAATGTGAAAAATGACTTTGAGGAAATCTCAGAAGCGACAAGTCTCGGGTTAAGGAGTAAGTGATGAGGTGTGATGAGTGCTCCTGAGTTACAGGTGGTGTGAGGGTATGCCTGAGTGTGGTGTGCTCAGGGTCACAGAGCTGTTCTTGGCCTGCTTCGTGGCAGGGTGGAGGAACAGAAAAGTAGAAAACTCAGCACTGCTGAATGTGTCTGTTGAACTGCTTTCTTCTGTCTCATCTCACAGGCTTCTGTCTGACCTTTTCTGTGTGTATTTTAGTTTATCATACAGTTGTTTTAGCTGACACCTTTGAGGAGAATGCAGCAAGGTGTTCTCTGTCCACATCTGCCCAGATGGGAGTGACCCAGTAAGAAGGATGGGACCCTGCGTTGTCACTGCTGAGTTTGACCTTTGCAGTAGTGTGG